CCTAACACAGCAAGATCAGGGAAGATCAGATACAACCGCAACCCGGGTGCCCATACTGCCAGCACAGGATCAAGCAACGCGCCCCACTGCAGAACTTCTCGCCGGCTCTGCAACACGCGGCCACTCCACAACAATACATTTCGGATCAGCGAGACAGTGCGGTCGCCAACCGGGGGTGCCCACCACGCCGATCTCCGGGCGCCCCCTGACCCGCCTCATGACCGCCCTCCGCCTTCTTCCTGCCCCCACCCCGCCTCTTGCCCCTTGCCCCTCCCTCCTGCCCCACCCCCTCCCTCCTGACCCCCACTCCGCCCCTCAGCCCCCATCCCCTTCCTCCAGCCCCCGCCCCTCCCCCTTCTTCCTGCCCCGGACGGGTGCCCCCTGCCCGCACCCCCGACCCCCTGCCCCCGCCGGGCACCCCCTGCCCGCACCCCAAATCTGCAGCCCGCAGCTCCGGTCTCGGGGTTCGGAGGCCTCAGGGGACACATCCTTAGGAAATGAAAGTAGTTGCTCACTTTTCTGCTCCGAGGGCCCTGGCGCGGGTAGGCCGCGAATCCCCGGGCTCGGGTGGGGAGTCCGTGGCCGTGGGAACTGGGGTTCGTGGGATGGACTTTCGGGTGGGTTTTCTTCTTTCCACTGAAATGTGGAGTCGGGTTTTACCAGCAGACGAGGAGGAGGAGGTGGGAGCTGGGCCCGCCCGGCTCCTGCGTTAAAACCCCGAGCCCTGGGGCTGGTGGTCGGAGGTGGGGCCTTGGAAGGGGATTAGGGTTGTTTTTTTAAAATATATTTTTATTGATTTCAAAGAGGAAGGGAGAGAGAGAAACGTCAATGATGAGAGAGAATCACGGATCCTCATGGATTGGCTGCCCCCTGCACGCCCTGCCCTGGGGACCCAGCCGCAACCCCGGCTTGTGCCCTGACCCGGGACCAGGCGGGGTAGTGGGGGTGGGGGGGACCTCCCAGGTCTTAGGTCCCAGGTCCCCGGTGGAGGGACCACTGAGCCAGCCCGGGCCGGGGACTAGGCCTTGAGAGAGGGTCCGGGTGACCCAGATTAGGGCGTTTACAGGAGAAACCCCACTGAGCCCTCGGGTCTGCCCCGTGAGAATAGGTGAGACACAGGCCCTGCTGGCACCGGGGTCGGACCTGCAGCCTCCAGAAGCCCAGAAATAAATGTCTTTTCTTGAGTCACCCCGTCCATTGTATTCTGTTACAGCGCCTGCCGGAAACGGTGTCAGTTGGGGAGATGTGGCCTAGAGGACACGCCCTGCGCTCAGCGTCCATTCGTGTTGGAGTGCGTGTCTCACTGGCCTGATGTTGGCATCATCCAGGTCCAGCCACCAGAGGTTCGGGTCTCCCAAGGCCACTTTTCTGCAGACGTAAGTGGAGCCTCAGTTCTCTGGCCTTTTCTCATTTGTAAGGTGAGACAATGTGTTCAGGTCCTCTCACTGTTGATAGGATTCAGTGGGATAATATTTGCAAAGCCTGGAAGCTTCAGTAAATACTGGCCCTTCCACGGCACAGCGGTGAGGGGCTCCATTGGGTGCCAGCTTCGTCGAGTCCTCGCCATGTGATGCTGGGCATGGTCACTTTTCATGCTTCCAGGGCCTCATCCGTAACAGTTATTATCCCTGCACAGAGGGTGTTGTGATGATGGAACTGCAGCGAACATGCCTGAAGATGCCTCTCAGTGTGTCTTTCAGGCTTGGGACCTGAGGCCTTATTTGCCACACAGGCCATTGGGAGCCACTTGATATTAGATAGTAAAAGGTGTTAACGTAAAAAACCATTGAAACCTGTAAAGAATTTTTGTGAGTTTATTTGAGCCAAACTGTCGACATATGCCGGGAAGCAGAACCTCAAGGAATTGAGATAGTGCTCCAGAGAATGGCAGGGTTACATCCGTATTTATACATGAAATTCATTGGTGACAGATTTAAGGAGGTGGGATTAAGCGAAGCGGGGGAAACCTCTGTGATAGGATAAAAAGTAAAATGATGGACACATACTTAGGTGGGTGCAGGAACAATTAACATGATAAATGAAAGAATCTGCTGCATCTGTCCTGGGCCCAGCACACCTGGCTGTGCCCTAGGGGCTCCAGATACAGGGAAATCATAAGTTACCCAGACATTTCAAGGGTATGTTCTCATAGATGCAAAACGACAGATAGGCCCAGTTACGGTAAAGGTTGACCTTATCAGTGAAGATATCGGCTTAGAACGTAACTGCCACCATCACTGCTTTTAGTTAAGGTTTAATTTCAGACCATCCTTTGTGGTTACTTTAGAGTCTGCAAAATTGCCATGCAGGCCTCTCCTGAGCTCCTCGGGTCAGCATGTGGCCCCTTTCGTCCACAAAGGCTATTTTAATCTTAGGTGGCAGTGGCTGAAACAATGCAAGTATGAGTTGATAAGACCTAACCTGAGGTGAATAAGAAAAAAGCAGACGCGTATAGGTTTCCTATACTCTTAATAACAAAGGTAAAGAAGTGGTCAAAACTAAAACATATTTACCATAAGAAGTAATAATACATAATTTTTTAATATATTTTATTGATTTTTTACAGAGAGGAAGGGAGAAGGATAGAGAGTTAGAAACATCAATGAGAGAAACATTGATCAGCTGCCTCCTGCACACTCCCTACTGGGGATTTGCCCACAGCCAAGGTACATGCCCTTGACCGGAATCGAACCTGGGACCCTTGAGTCCGCAGGCCGATGCTCTATCCACTGAGCCAAACCGGTTAGGGCAATAATACATAATTTATGTAGTTAATAAAGTAAAGCAATATAGAACTGATATCCTGGGCCACAAGGTCATTTGAAAGTAGGATGGGCAGAGTGATGGCTGCAGTGGGTTCTCCCAGGCCCTTGTATTATTTGGGAAGAGGGTGAAAATATTGATTAACTTTAAGCTTTAGTCTTTCATGTGTACAAGTTAAAAATATCTCAGGTAACTACTAAAACAGTATATAATTTCCAAATTAGTAGTGGGAGAAAGATAATTTTTAAAAAGAAAGATATAAAGATAGAAAAAAAGAAACAAATAGAAGCACAAAAAATATAAAAAAGAAATGCAAATATTTCAGTAATTATAGTAAATGTAAATGGAATAAACGGTCCAACTTTTTAAAAATGTAATGAACAAAATAAAATCCAACCATAAGCTACTTTTTTTTATTGATTGATTAAGGTTGCTACTTTTGATACATTCTTTTTTCTTTAATGTAGACTGATGTCTGCATCTTTTTTTAATGTTTCTATTGATTTTTTGAGAGAGAGGAAGGGAGAGTGATAGAGAAATAGAAACATCTATAAGAGAGAAACATCATCAATTGGCTGCCTCCTGCACGCTCCCTACTGGGGATCAAGCCCACGACCCAGGCATGTGCCCTGACCTGGAATCGAACCAGTGACCTCTTGGTTCATGCATGGGTCAATGCTCAACCACTGAACCACACCAGCTGGGCTTGATACATTCTTAAACCAAGAAAACAGAAAGGTGTAAAAGGATGGGAAGAGATGTCATGCAAATATAACAGTAGAAAGGTGGTAGAGCTGTAACATCAGACAAACTAAAAACTAAATGAGCCCTAGTTGGTTTGGCTCAGTGGATAGAGAATTGGCCTGCAGACTGAAGGGTCCTGGGTTCTATTCCAGTCAAGGGCACATGCCCAGGTTGTGGGCTCGATCCGCAGTAGGGGGCATGCAGGAGGCAGCAAATCAATGATTCTCTCTCATCATTGATGTTTTTTTTTAAGTATATTTTTATTGATTTCAGAGAGGAAGGGGGAGGGAAAGAGAGAGAGAAACATCAATGATGAGAGAGAACCAGTGATCAGCTGCCTCTTGCACATCCCCCACTGGGGATCAAGCCCGCAACCCAGACATTTCCCCTTTACTGGAATTGAACCCAGGACCCTTCAGTCTGTAGGCTCATGCTCTATCCATTGAGCCAAATCAGTGAGGACTCATCATTGATGTTTCTGTCTCTCTCCCTCTCCCTTCCTCTCTGAAATCAATAAAAATATTTTTTAAAAAATAAATGAAAGTTACTAAAGCCCAGCTGGTGTTGCTCAGTGGTTGAGCATCAACCCATGAACCAAAAAGTTACTGGTTTGATTCTCGGTCAGGGCACATGCCCCAGTTGCAGGCTCGATCCCCATTGTGGGGCATGTAGGAGGCAGCCAATCAATGATTCTCTCTCATTGATGTTTCTATCTCTCCCCCTCTCTTCCTCTCTGAAATCAATAAAAAATGCATTTAAAAAAATTTTTGTAATGAAAACATGCTCCTTTAAGCCTATTTAATCTATAATTTTTCTACACATTACCACTAAAGTTAATCGTTTTTTCATTTTAAATATATTTAGAAAAATAATTTTTAAAAAGAACAAAAATATTATTTTATTGAGTTTATTTTTATTAGTACATATTGTTTAGAAAACACTTGAATCTTTGAAAAATCTTTGTACCAAATGTATTTGCTTATAGCTTTTGTCAATGTGAGTTTTATTTTGTGGTCTGTCTTTACCTATTAAAGCCAATTTTCTCAGGTTACATTTTTCCATCTTAATGTCATGATGAAGATTTGATTCTTTTGTCAATTTTCAGTCAGCAACAAGTTTTATTTTGTGTCAGTTATTTACTATTTTACTTTTTCCTGCGTCAGACTTTAGAATTCAGTTTTACCTTAATGATGTCAATGCCTGAAATTTCAAATTTAGCCCTTCTGTATCCTTCCAACTGTCCTTCCAATTTGTGTGTCAAACATTTACTCTCTGTGCTATGCTATTGTGTAGACAAGGAGCAAAGGATGTCCTCAAAGTAAAACCTTAGGAACAAAGACATTCAGTTAGATTTATGAGGCCTGATAATTCTGTCCATCCATCGATCCACCTATCACTTTGTCCACCAGCCACTCATCAGTCCTTCCATCCATCTGTCCACCCATCTACTCACATTAATCTACCCCATCTAACTACCCATCTATCCATCCATTCACCACTTACCCATCCACTCCACCATCCATTCATCCTTCTGTCCAAACATCCACCCATCAATCCATCCATCCACCAATCCAGTCACCTTCCCATTCATTAATCTACCCCTGTGGTTTTTAACCAGGGGCCATTTTGCCCCCAGGGAATAATGGGAAATGCCTGGAGACATCTTCTGCTGTCATAAGTGGTTGATGCTACTGTCACCTAGTGGATAAAGGCCACAAAGGCTGCTCAACAGCCTACAACACAGGACGCCCCACAGCAAAGAATTATCCGACTTAAAATGTCTTCAGTGCCCAAGTGGAGAATCCCTGATCCATTCCCATCCAACCACCGGCCATCCATTCACCACACCCATTTATTTACATGTTCACTGAGCGCCCGTTGCTGTGTCTCCCAGTTCTGACTGGGGAGCGTGTGAAACAAGTACACAGGTGTTACCCTTAGGTGTTCAGATTTTTATAATCAGAAACCATGGAGCCCTGGCTGGTGTGGCTCAGTGGATAGAGCGTTGGCCTGCGGACTGAAGGGTCCCGGGTTCGATTCCGGTCAAGGGCACAAGCCCGGGTTGTGGACTCGGTCCCCAGTAGGGGGCAGCATGCAGGAGGCAGCCGATCAATGATTCTCTCTCATTATTGATGTTTCTTTCTCTCCCTCTCCCTTTCTCTCTGAAATCAATAAAATACACACACACACACACACACACACACACGAGAGGCCCGGTGCATGAAAATTCACGCACTGGAGGCGGGTCCCTCAGCCCGGCCTGCCCCTCTCACAGTCCGGGAGCCCTCAGGGGCGGGAGGCGACGCCCCATCACACCTCTGCTGCTGCCACTGCCGGCAGTGCAAGCCTTGGCGGCCCTGGGGGCTGGGGGGACGGGACTCCGGAGACAGGCGTGGGCTTGGGGGGGGGGGGGCTGAGAGGACTGGGCGCCGCCATCTTTGAGGGCGGGGCAGTCAATTAGCATATTCCCTCTTATTGGCTGTGGGCACCACCATCTTTGCAATGGCGTGAGGGTAATTAGCATATTCCCTCTTTATTAGAAAGGGTATTAAAAACCATGGAAGTTTGTGAATGGAAAGTTAATCAGTAGAGAAGAAGCTTCTTTGCTTATTGCCAGGATAGTATGTGGTATTAAATCGTTGCTAATTAAGGTTAATCAACAATTTATCACCATATTAATCAGGTAAACAAAAACATACCAAAGACGAAAAACAAATGTCCAGGTTTTTTTCTACCACAACTCACTCTGCTCACTAGACTCGCTTGGAGCTTCAGGGAATACTGTTCCCCGGATCGAGGCTCTGATGTAATTGGTCCAGGACGGGGCCTCGGCACCGGAACCGCATAGAAGCACCCAGGTGACCAATGTTCCACCAGGACGGGAACAGCTGTGTCAGAACTCAAACACGTACCCCCCCCCTTTTTCTTTATTGGATTTTTTTGCTTGTACGTAACACGTGATTTTTCTTTCTTTTTTCAATTTATTCAGAGCCTGATCCTATAAGGTTCGGGGTAATAATCTGTCCCCTTTGCCCTTGAGTTCTTGCCTTACTGTGTGTGCGGGGAGGTGCAGGGAGAACTGACCTAGAATCACAGGCCCCGGATCCCGGGGCTGACGGCCACCAAGGGGCTTTTCCATCTTCTGCTCCGGGAGCTGTTCAGTCGCACTGGAGGGAGCCACACGCTGTAACGGGAGCTGATCGTGCCTCTTTGCGAATATTAAACCGATGGTAACTAATTTAGATGAGAAGATGTAAAGAAATAGAAGCACGGGAACTTTTTAATGCTTGGCTCGCTGTCAAAACTCTCGTTTCTGTGGCTCTAACCCAAAGAGGAGAAGCCTCGGATGACTTCCTGAGGGACCGGGATGGTCACAGGTGTTTGCAGGAGGCCTCAGAAACGGCCGTTTTCATAGACGTGACCGTCAGCAGTTCACATGGGCGAGGCAACAGCAGCTGCTGCCCCCATTGCACAGATGAGAGACTGAGCCTCAGAGCGGTGAGGGCACCCAGGTCACAGACTGCGTGGTGGCACGTGGCCTCGTATGGAGCTCTCCCATCCTATCTTCCTCGTTCACGTCGCCGGCCACACACACAGGCATGTTCACTCTGCTCTCAGCCTCTGGGAGCCTCAGGGTCCCTCCTTCCGCCCCTCCCCTTCCACAGGCAGAGGCAGGGCACAGCCCTACAGCAGGGGTTCCTTCCAGCCTGGCCGCCATCCCCAAACCTAAGAACAGTGTCGTCTACTCCGCACGCTCAACTTCACCTTCCAAATGCCTTTGACAGCTTTTTTCTGGGCAGAGCAGATTCTCCATCCAGGGGCCTGTAATGGTTCGAAATCCGTTTCCGACAAGCCGTTTGCTAGTAGTTACTGAATCACAAATCACGGCTGGTTCTTGAGGGGAGCCCTTCCCTCATGCGAGACCCCCCTTTTTCCTGGTGGCCTTTGGGGATACATTTCTGCACATGGGTGCCTCTCCCTGTTGTTGGGAATCGAAGCTGGTAGAAACGTCATTTGCTCATAGATAGGTTGCTTTTCTTAATAAAAATATTCTTTCTAAATTAAGTGATATTTTTATTAATAAAGGCAATTTCATATTTGATGGAGAAAACAGTGTGAAAATCTGTGTATGGGATGTAATTTTCAACTGATGTGTTAGACAGCTTCTCCACAAGTGGTTATGGAGCCAGGGATTACGATTTGGGAGGAGCCGGAGGCCTCCGTGACCTTCCTCCGGGTTTCTCTCGCCGGGGCCTGGGCCGGGGCCGGGCTGCCCAGGCAGTGCCCTCCTCCGCCAGGGTCGGGAGCCCCGTTTGCAGCAAGGCCATCCATTCCAGGGCAGACAACTCCTGTCCTGTTTTCCTCCCAAAATGACAGAAAATGTGCCGTTCAGATCTTCTCAGATGGAATGTCCCTACTTTCCGATTACCCCTTACCTGACAGTTTTCAGAGCCTCCTGTGACGCCAGTCCCACTCCCCTGGGCGTTCGTCCACTGAAAACACTGCCTCCAGCCCCAACATGAAGGGCAAGTACTTTCTTAACCAAGAACCTTGACCCCCAGAGTGGGACCCTTTCCCCCTCCCTACGTGGGAGTCTGTACTTGTTCTTCAATAAATCTCCATCTTTGCTATACCAAAAAAAAAAAAAAAGACACTTGACCTCCAGTGACACTGCCCGGGTGCACTGGGTATCTTTTTAGCAGCTACTTCTGTCAAATCTGAGATTGGTCTTAACACGTTGCGTACCGCATAGAAATCTCTAAGACATACGCCAGGGACCGCACGTTTTGGGGCAACCTGCACGTTATTTAAATCATCATAATGCACTTTAGGTGTTTTTCAATAATTACAACATTTTTTATTTACAAAAACAAAGTTCCTAGTACTTTTTTAACGTATGGTCCTGCGTAAAACATTTTCCTCTATGAAGAGGGACCAAACAAAATTTACATAAGTATCTAGATCCGCTCCTTTTTCCATGGGCGTGAAAAACGAGAACACTCGTGAGCGGTCCTTAACAGATGGCGCGCGAAACACGAGAAAACTCCTGAGCGGTACGAAAGGTGTTAAGAAGCCGTCAGTCAGGATGGGTTGGAGAAAGGTAATGCCAGTCTGAATGCTGCCTTCTCACATCCAGAATCCACCTTGGTTGGGTGTGTGTCAGTATGTCTGTCTGTTCCCCATCATATAATGTGGGGCACACTGACACCTTTATCAGAGTTACGGTCACTGTCACGCAGCCCCAGCTGGCTGAGACCCTGGTTTACACTGGCGTCCATCACTTCATCCCACGGCGCCCAGGAGTGACACTGCGTCCACAGGGGAAACGAAGGCAGGGAATTGGGCCACTCGTCCAGGTCCCACGCAGTGTGACACGGTCCTGATGTACAGGAGTCTCGCCTGCACCTGTGCTCCCCGTGTCCTGTTGCCGCAGACGGTCAAGTTCAGATGAGAGTTTCTGGGCTCCGCGGGCGACGGGCAAGTGGATTGGAGCCTCCAGGCAGGGGCAGAGGACACAGCAACAGAGCAGTCAGCCCTTCAGAGTAAAGACGAGACAAGGAGCGCCGCCCAGAGCTCTGTCCGACCGTGATAGTTGGAGAGGGAGGGAGAGGGAGAAACATGGGCCAGCTGCCTCCCACGTGCCCCCCACTGGGGATGAAGCCCACAACCAGGCATGTGCCATGACTGGAAATCAAACCGGTGATCCCTTGATGCACGGAACAACGTTCAACCAACTGGGCCACACTGGCCGGGGCACCCGTAACTTGTTATCTGAAGTTCTTCTAAGTCTGATCCTGCTGACATTATGCCTCCATGCGAGGTTGTTTCTGTACACGTGTGTGCACATGCACATATATGTGTGCCTGCGTGTGTGCACGCCTTTACTCTTGGGAGCTCATGTTTACTAGGCTTGTGGGGATGCTGTATTGCTGGGGAAAGGGCCCGTACGGCAGTTTTTTCTTGTTCTATTAGCTGTTTCAGCCTTGGGCTAACTTTTATACTAATTCCTCGGCCTGGTGGTTCCTGGACCGCACAGTGTGAATCTGAATCCCAAACCTCTGCGTGGTTACAAATTCTCACAGGATCTGTGCCCCTCGTCCCGGGGAGTTTCCTGGCTATTTCTCCAGGCCGGTGGGAACTCTCGCTCTCCTCTTCCAGGTGGAGCCTTCCTCGATGGCTCCAACAGAATCCTGGTCTTGGGCGGGACAGCTGCCTCCAGCTCAGCCGTCCTCTGGTGCAGGTTCCGCAGCCTCCCCACAGCCTCCCCGCGGGGCTCTGCTGCTCACTTCATGGCAGGGCTGCTCTCGCTCAGGCTCTTGTTATTCTGAGATGGAACGTTCCTTGCAGCCATTTCTGCCTGCCCGTCCTCTCTGGTTGCTGAGGGGGGAGGGCCTCTGCCTTCATGGCTCGGCTGCAGAGAGGGTGCCCTGCTCAGAGGGGGCTGAGAGCAGGGCCCTCGGCCACCGCGCCCCCCGGGTGTCCCTGCAGGAAAGGAGAGGCTGCCACGGAGCCCGGCTCAGCTCCTCGCTCTTGTTCTCACTGAAGACTCCGCTCTGACCCCACCTGTACAGGCAAGACAGCCTCCCAACAGGAAATAAGCACACGCTCCAGACGATAAGCCGTTTTATCTGGTCCCTGCATAGGAGACAGTGAATCGAAACCAGAAGCGTCCTGTGAAGATGAGCCCCCTCTGGGGGATGTCCCTCCTGGCAGGCCGGCCGCTGCGTGTCCTCTGGGCTCGGCCAGCCTGGAGCAGACTGGCCGGGCCGGGGGGTGGTGGGCAGCTCCCCTGGAGCAGGCAGGGCGCTGCGAGGAGCTCCTACTTCCTCTGTGCCTTCGGGAGGCCCAGCGTGGATTTCAAGTAGCTGTGCTGGACGCGGAGAAGGGAAGGAGGGATTGGTTAGGGCTCAGAAGCCACCACCTGCATCCCCCGTCATTCCTCCTGCCAGTGAGGACGTACGCGCGCACACATACACACGCATACGCACACACACACGCACACACACACACATGCACACACATACAATACACGCACACACATACAATACACGCACACACACATGCACGCACACACACTAAGGTGCGTCCTGGACTTAGAGGCTCCTCTTACTCTCGGGGGCCATCACCACGTAAGAGGGGGGAGCGCATCCAGCACAGATGCACCGGGCAGAGGGGTGTCCAGGCCTGGCCACAGCCTGTGGGACTTCACTGGGCAGCCCCGGGACTCGAGCCGGCGGAGACACCCGCTGCCTCTGGGTGACTGGCTCCCGGAGCTGGACACTCCTCCCAGCCTCTGCAGTGGGGAGTGTGATCCTGGGTGGGGGGTGCTAGTGACGGGGTCCCAGGCCCCGCCCCCCGGAGCCATGAGCCGAGTCACCTTCTGTTCTCTCTTGACCTTGGCGTTGTAGAAGGAGATGGACTCCGGGCCCTCGGGCAGCACGTCCTGCTGCAGCTGGCTGAACTTGTCCTGGTCGTCTTCTCCCTGGGGGCCCAGCTCAAGGTCGTCCTCCAGCCTGGCAGGGGCAGGACGCGCCCTGCCAGGGCCCGTGGTGGGCAAGAGGGCAGCCCCTGGCTGGGCTGGCAAATCCCCCCCTGCGGCAGCTCACACACACAGGCCCTGTCTGCCAGCGTCACCACAGATGCCCTGTAACTGCCCCCTGGGCAGGACGAGCCACCCGAAAGGGTGGCGGCAGCAAGTGGTATCGTCTGTGTGCCCACCCTCGGTCACTGGGTAGAGACCTGTGGCTTCCCACCTGCCTGGGCAGCCGTGGGAGCGGCCCACACATGCCACGTTTGTGGGGAGAAAAGGGCAAAGCACCAGAGGCACTGCCCACTGCCCACTTCCATCACCCACCCCGACGGGGGCCACTCACCAGAGACACAATCCTGCTGAGAGGCACCATGCCCGGCCGGATGCTGCTGCCCGGCTTCAGGGCCGCCTGCATGTCCTCGGGGATGAAGAAGGACTCATTGTACCAGATTTCAAATTCTGCGAGGAGGAGGGGCCGGCACTGAGGGGGAGCCCCTGAGGCTGCAGGCACAGGCTGTGTGCTCATCAGAGGTTCACCCTGCCACTTCCTGCTCCACCGTCTCCCTCGCCCATCTCTGTCTCCTGCCCCCAAATCCTATAAACAAACATCTGAAGGCCCTGCCCTATCCCTGCCTTTGCCAGAGAGAAGCTTCTCTTTTCTAAGATCCATGGTTTGCTTTTATTTATTTTAAATATATATATATGTTATTGATTTCAGAGAGGAAGGGAGAGAGAGAGAGAGACATCAATGATGAGAGAGAATCATGGATCGGCTGCCTCCTGCACGCTCCCTACTGGGGATCGAGCCCACAACCCAGGCATGTGCTCCGACTGGGAATCCAACCGTGACCTCCTAGTTCATGGGTCCCTGCTCAACCACTGAGTCACACCAGCTGGGCCAGACAGAAGCTTAGAAGCTGCTTCTAGAACCCAGGTCTGCGGGTCCCAGAACCCCGACGGCCGCCACCCTTCCCAGACCGCACACCTGTGAGCAGGCGGTGGCGACACTGGTCCACCAGGTGCTGGCAGTACTGGATCTCAGCCCTCAGGTCACGCAGGTCCTGGTACTCCGCACGGTACTGCTTCTTGAGGTCTTTGAGCTTCAGGATCAGCAGGAACTCCTCTTCATCGATGATAATCAGCCCCTTCTTCTCATACTCACCTGTAGAGGAGGGAGGAGGTCAGGGTGAGGTGCCACCTGTGCTGAGTGAGGAGGCAGGTGGTCCAGAGAGAGGGGAGAGCTGGCCAAGCACGAGACGGGAGACCAGGGAAGGCCGGGCACTGCGTGCGGTGGGCACGGCACTGGGAGGGCCGCTGCCAGGACACGTCCCACGGGGAGAGGGAGCTCAGAGCAGGGCCACTTGGCATTTCCAGGACAAGCAGGAGGGTCGCAGGGGAGGGGTAGGAATGACCCATGTGCCACACATCGTGATCTTAAACCCCATCAATCAAAAATACTCAGGCCCTAACCGGTTTGGGTCAGTGGAATGAGCGTCGACCTGTGGACTGAAGGGTCCCAGGTTCGATTCCGGTCAAGGGCATGTACCTTGGTTGCGGGCACATCCCCAGTGGGGAGTGTGCAGGAGGCGGCTGGTCGATGTTTCTCTCTCATCGATGTTTCTAACTCTCTATCTCTCTCCCTTCCTCTCTGTAAAAAAATCAATAAAATATATGGGAAAAAATGTTTTAAAAAATACTCAGTAGCATCTCAATATATGCATGTTTACCGTTTTTTGGTTTTTGGTTTAAAAAAAACAACGAACATGACATTTATTGTGCGACTAATCGCTGAAATCCTTAGGCTCAGCTGGATGGGCAGCCGCTGCCTCTGGGGTGTGGGTGCCGTTCCCGCACGGAATCCGGGCCTGACTCTTCAGCGGACGAAGTTGAGGGGCCTCAGGCGCCAGTCCCACTAATGTCCCGTCGGCTCACCCTGGCCTCGCTACACTGCCTCCTGCGCTTGGCGGGCAGCCGGCGGCCGCAGGTGCTGGGCCTGCAACCACAGCCCGCGCCTCCACTCACTGGCCTCGCGGGCGTGGGAGCCCGCGTTCCAGATGGTCTCCTGGTGACCGGAGATTCATCAGCCACCCCCTTGTTAGAGACGATGGGACACCTGCACCCTATCGAGTGGCTGCAGAGGCTCCGGGAGAGGAGTCAGCTGTGCTCTTAGCATCTGCTCCACGCAGCCTCTTCGGACGGACCTGAAGCTCCGTCAGTTCCTTGAGGATCGATGGGTTAAGTCAAAATAACATGGTCTGTCAGCCGCTCACCTGGCTGTCCACTGCCCACAGCACACAAGCGTGTGGCCGGGGGCGGGTGTGGGCAACGTCTCCCGTTGGGACCAGGGCGCCAGGTCAGGGTGCCCACGTGGGGGGCCTGCTCTCTGAGCCTGATGGCCCCTCATGACCTGCCTTAGGAGACGGGTCCTTGCCGAGCCAGGACGGTGCGGGTGTGCGTGAGGAACGTCTCCGTGACAGTGAATCCTTGGCCCTCTGCTCGGCCCCTTCTCATTGCTCCTCGATTTCCTCTTAGCCAGCACCCCGCCGCCATCAGACCCAGGGACCGTACGGGGTCACCAGCCCCCCTCCACCTGGGAAGCCTCTATGTCCATGGGCAGCAGATGCATGTAGATGAGGCCTGGCGCTGGCGTGAGACGCAGCAAGGAGGGGCCGCAGGCAGAGGCTGGCTGACCAGAGGGACTCGGGCTCCCCAGGGCTGACCCAGAGCGAGGCCGCACCCCACGGCCCCGGGGGCCCTCCCACCCCGTCCTCCGGCTCCCGAGGCGGTCCCACTCGGAACAGCGTGACTCCGACCCCACAGCCCCGGCCACCTTCCCGCCTCCTTACCCTGCTTCTCCCGCAGGGACCTCTGGGCACTCAGTCCCTCCTTGGTGACGTCGATCTCCCTCTTGATGACGTTGATGCGCTGTGTGGTCTCACTGGCCCTTTTCCTCCGCTCGTTCAAGATGGACTTGTTTTCTTTGAAGATGCGGTTGATCTCACTACCTCGCTCGTTCTTAAAGTCCTCAAAGGCCACAGGCTTGGAGGGTGGGGTGCTGGGCCTGAAGATGGAGGGGGGAGGGGGGCAGCTGTCTTGGAGCCACCAGGTCCTTCACCTGTCTCCCCTGGGGCCTTGGCAGCAGGAAGGCCCGGCTTCCTGGGCACCCTGCCCCCCCCCTCCCCCGGACGCAGCCAGACGGCGGGGGGGGGGGGGGGGGGGGGGGGGACACCAATCCCTCCTCTGTGTTACTCGCACACAAGGGGGCGTGGCCGCGGCCCAACACGAGGGGAGCAAGGGGACGCAGAACCAACAGAAACCAAAGCAAACCTCGCTCTGCTGAACCCCCTTCAGGGATTGCTTTGAGGGAGTTTTAAACGCCGGAGGTCATGCGGCATGAATAATTTTACATCTTTTTTTTTCTCAGAAGCATTCTTTCACGCTATTAAAAACTCTCTGAGAACTCCAGTTAAGGAGAGGTGAGATTTAGTGCCGGGGGGGCGGAAGGGGGGGGGAGGGACTTGTCTGCACCTCCCGTGCGGGGGAGGGACGGAGGGAAGGAGAGAAAGACGGCACACCAAGAAACGGGCATAGTCACAGGTGAGCTGTGAGTCAGGGTGTGGCCGGTATAGTTCTTCCAGCTCCTCCGAGTGTCTGGACGTGGTCACGCTGGGGTGTGTGTGTGTGTGTGTGTGTGTGTGTGTGTGTGTGTTCATGCACATCCTCGCACACCCCCAGGGAGGAGACGATAATCCCCTCAGAGCCTTTCCCTGGTGTCAGCTGTTAGGTGTTTGGTTTTGCTTTTCCAGTTGGCGCCATGGCCGCCTCCTGCACAGACCTCTGTCCAGATCTCCGGTCCTTTCCTCAGGGCAGGTTCCTGAGAACTCACTCCCTCGCTCACCAGGAGAGGAACCGTGTGGCTGGAGGAAGGGGTCTACGACCTGGAAAAGTCGTTGCTTTCTGAGTCATTACTTATTCCAAAAATATGTAAATTTAATCCTAAAATAGTTGCTACTCGGAGGGTCTCATGAGCCCGTGCTTGGACCCTCGCAGGTGATGCCTCGGCCTCCTTCCGGGCTGTGCGCCGGGGCCTGCCTGTCCCCCGGTCGTCTCTGCAGGGACTCACATGCTGAGGATCACACTCTGGCTTGGGGGGATCTGGGCTGGGGCTGCGTTAGACGGTCACCTGAGTGGGCGTGGCTCCTCCTTGGGGGAGTCCGAGGGGAGGGTCTCGATGTTGGAGGTCTCCCGGTCCCGCAGAATCATGTCCTTGACGTCCCCCTCCTTGGAGAGTGGGGTCAGCTGGGTCTTGGAGGTGGAGACATCCATATCCTTGCCGCTCACAGGGCTGCTGCCACCTTCCTTTTTTGCCGGGGAGCTGGAAGGAGAGGGTGGAGCCCCAGGGCTCAGGCCTGGGGAGGGGGGCGTCCCCCACGCTGACGGAGTGCCCTTTCTCCGCCCTCGCACGCGGAGCCCCATCCCGCCCAGCTCCGATCTTGATCCTATGCCCGGGGCAAGGACAGAGTATGACCCTGAGCCATGCAGATGGGGAGACTAAGGAACCCGCCCTGGAGCAGTCTGGGCAGGAGGCCCCGGGCCCTGGGGGGGGGGGGGGCACAGCTCTCAGGGCCACCCCGAGTCCCGAGGCCTCTCTGGGAAGGACCCGCAGAGCCTCCACCAGGTGGGCTGCCTGTGACCAGCCCAGGACCTGCTCTCCGCCCACACCGGGGCCCACCCAGCCAGGACATGGCTGCCGCCCTCTGTGTTGGTGCCGGGTCCCCTGCCCAGAGAGGCCCACGTGAGCAGGGCCTGTGCTGACAGGAGATGCCCCTGCTCGTTCCTCCTCTTCATTTTCTTGCAACATCGGCTTTGGGGGAGGGGAGGAAGCCTGGTCTACCTGCAACTGCACCGATTACCGGGCAGCAGAACGGGGTGGGGGTGGGCGCGACTCTGCAGTCAGTGTTGGGCCACATCCTATCACGAGTGATCGTACCAGTAACAAGAGGCGGCATTCACTCACTCATCCTCACAGCAACTCCAACGACAGCGATGCTGTTATTATTACTATTCCACTTTATTCTTAAAACAATTTTATTTATTGATTTGAGGGTGGGGGGTAGAGGAAGAGAGAGAGAAAGGGAGAGAGGGAGAGAGGGAGAGAGAGGGAGAGAGAGGGAGAGAGAGGGAGGGAGAGAGGGAGAGGGAGAGAGAAGAAAAGAAAAAAACCCATCGATGTGCTTCCCACTCATTCACACATTCATTGGCTGATTCTGGGCTGTGCCCTGACCGGGGATCGAACCTGCAACCTGAGCGTATCAGGACGAAGCTCTAACCCGCAGGGCTTGTGGTTCCCGTTTCAGAGAAGGGAGGGCGAGGCCCAGAGAGGCTCAGGCTGACACAAGGTGAGAGGCCCCGGGGATGAGAGAGGTGGGGAGTGAGGAGGTGAGGGGTGCAGCCACCCCCTCCAGAACCTGTGCTGCTGCCTGCCTCTCCGCAGCACACGCGGGGCTGAATGAGGGAACCCTGACTCCCTCCCCACCACCTCGCACCCACAGAGGAGTCTGGCCTGAGTGGTGACTGGGGTGTTGGGTGGTGTGAGTGCCAGGCAGCTGGTCACAGAGGACTCCGTTGGGAGGTGGGTTTGACAGGAAGTAGCGGAGGGCAAATGCCAGCCCAGCTTCTACCTGAACGCTGCTGGGCTCAGCGGAGGTGTGACCTTGGCAGGGACTTCCCCGCCCTGGGCCTCAGTTTCCCCATCTGTGAAATGGACGCACTAGCTCCCAGCTCGTGGGGCTGCTGTGGGTGAGGGGACAGCCCCGCTGGGCCCATAGATGTTGCTAGTATTGGCAGCAGGGACACGCACTGTGGCCACAGAGTAGCGAGACCAGAGGGAAGGGGGAGACAGGTAGCGTCCTCCGCCGCCAGCGCAGGAGGGCCAGGTGCTGAGCGGCAGGCCAGCAGGGCGGTCACTCACCTGAGCTGCTCTTTCAGTGTCCTCTTGGACTTGGTTTTCTTCCCAGGTTTGCTAGAGTAAGAGGCAACCCCAAGTCCAAAGCCTTGTCCGTCAGACTCACCCACCAGGTGGCCGTCAGCATCCATAAGCCCTGCCTGGATAGAGGCCAGCGCGGGGGCAAAGGTCAGGCTCAGGGTTTGCTCCGGCCTTTGGGGGACACAGCTGTGCGTGGGCTGAAGGCTCGGGTGGGCACGTGTAGCCCACGGCAGGCGGCGGCGGCTGCCAGCTTCCGGCCGTCCCCAGCGAGCCTGTCTCCTCCCCACGTCCCCCCGCTGGCGTTTGGTTCCAGGCCCTGGGATCCTCAGGCCTTTCCCAGCCTTTCCCAGCCCAGCGGCAGGAACTGTCTTGTTCACCATTCGCTTTGTCTCCCGTTTTGGAGGCCCCTGCGAGCCACACGAGGCTGACCTTGCCTCGGTCACCCGACACTCGCCCTGCGTGACCCCATCTGTTCCCACCCTACATGGGCTTCCAGGCAGGACACCTGCTGCCTCTGGAAAGTCTTGGGAGAGAGAAACCTGACGCGAGTGCTGCCAGCAAGAGGCAGCCGTGCGTACCTTCTGGACAGCAGAAATGGCTGCAAAGTCGTTCTTGTCTATGAGGGTGTACTTCCGGCGCAAAGCGGCTTCCACCTCCTGCTCCTGTTGGCTGGGGAGAGTGAGAAAGAGCGGGTGCGTCCTGCAGGCAGAGGTTCGGGTGTGGCCCCGCGGGAAGGAGCCCGGCCCTCACCGTCAACCAGACCTGACAGGAGCAGCTCACCTGTGCCTGGGTCCCCAGGGTGCACCCACGGCCAAGCCCCCACCGCAGAGGATGCACTCGCCCAGGAGAGGCAGGGGGTGTGCTTGGAGGCGGAGTCACCCCCCCCCCCCCATGAAGGAGTCGGTGGGCAGGGGGCCCCTTACGTCAGAACCACCCGGAACTGGTTGAACACCTCCTGGATCTGTCTGAGGTTGATTATCTGGAGAGAAGAGAACGAGGCAGGGTTAGGCCTTGGCACCGGGGCCCAGGCTGGGTCTGTCAGTGGAGAAGCCAGGACCGGGGCTGACCGGGGACCATCTGCCTCGAGAGCAGGACGTCTGCAAACGGCCTCTCAGCCCGGAGGCAGCACAGCCCGCGGAGGACAGGGCACCTGGTCACTCCTTTCCAAGCCCAGTGCTTTCTGAGCTACAGACACCGTTTCTAAGTGAACCTCCATAAAACCAGAACGGCTCTAGTTTGAAAATACCCAGGAAAGTCGTTCTATGAAGCGTGCTGTCCTCAGCTCCCCCGCTTCCTCGAGGCCCCATTCTGCGCCTTCCTGTGGGTGCAGACACGCCCACGCCTGTGGCTGGAGGAGGCCGCCTCCCTCTGGACCCTGACCCACAAGCAGTGCCCTTGACCGGGGTCGGTCCGGGGCTGCCCTGGCCGGGGAGGCAGGTCTGCAGGCAGCTCCTGTGAAGAGCTGGCCGCCTGCGCTGTGGGAACGGTGCATCCCCAAGGGCCCACCCGCCTGGGTCTGCCTGCGGACAGCCAGCGTGGCCATCGTCCTTGCCCGGCCTGTTCCACCTCCGCAGCAGCACTGAGGAGCCCGGCTCAGGCCCCTTCCCCGCTAACGAGGCGAGGGGACCCGGGTACCGAGGTCACGCAGCAAGGAGACGCATGGCTGGGGTGCGACCGGGCTGCCTGGCTGCAGGCCCGCTTGGTCCAGGGATGGACTGCGTCCTGTGTGCTAGACGTTCAGGCTGCTGGCCACTGGCGGGCACCCACAGCCTGATCACCCTGAACCTGGAAGCTGAGGCCTCGGTGGCTGAAGGGACTCTGAGATCGGGGTCCCCCCACGCCCACTGCACCCT